AGTGAAAGATAAATCCCTTATTGTGGAGTTAAGCATTAGTTACAGTGTTGACCCCACCCTTAGCCCAGAGCCTTGATTGAAGGAATACCTAGAAAAACGAGTCAGAAGTAACTTAACTGCACACCAAAACCTTCCACCTACCTTTATCACAGGCCCATAGCGGCAGAAATGTCGTGTTAAGTATTGATCAGACACATTCGAAGAAAGTCCATCCAACCACACACAATTTGTAGGCATGCTCTTTCCAAAACCAAGCTGAATATAAAAGGTGAAATATCTATTAGCAAAGACTATAGCATTATATTAAACATAAAAAAAAAAAACCCAACAGTTTTTGGTAGGAATCTTATCTAATAAACATCTCAAGTAGAAATCACATGTTTAAAAATAAAATACAGATATACTTTGGAAATACTATGGGTTCAGTTTCAGAACAGAGCAATAAGTGAATATTGCAATAAAGTAAGCCATACAAATATTTTCGTTTCTCAGCGCATATAAAAGTTACATTTACATTATATTATAGTCTACTAAATGTGCATTAGGGAGATTTGGTGGCTTAACAGTAAAAAAGTGCACTGCCAAGCCAAAGGTACACAGTTCAAATCGACCAAATGCTCCAAGAGAGAAGGATGAACAATCTATTCCCATGTGATTTACTGCCTCTGAAGAACTGCTGGAGGGTCACTATGGGTCAGTTCTAACAACAAATGTATTAGCATTATGAAAAAGTTTTAAATATTCTAAGAAAAGCCAAAATAAGGCAGAGAGGGGAAGTAAGAACATGTATCTAGGAAAATGGAACTGATGGATTTGCCTGACAAAGGGTTGCCTCAAATCATCAATGAGTATAAAACACAGTGATTTGCAAAATGCACTATCTATAAAGGTAATAAAGTAAAATACAATAAAACAAAAAACACTTGTGAAAGTTTATAGCAATCATCATCATCCTCCTCCTCCTCCTGCCTGGTTAATCAATTATTAGCAAAAATTATAGTATGGAGGATGTAGATGCAAAAAAATGTACCTACGTCATGGCTGTCTAACTATAGTACTTGTGGGTACTAACTGTATTTTTATGATCTTAAATAAAGACTCACATAAATAAATCTTAAAAACAAAGTATATTGTAAAAAAATAGTAACTTCTAGACATTTCTTTACCTTGAGGCGATTATTTCCAAGGTATTCCCCATCCATCTTCTTAATAGCCTTACAAACACTGGCAATGTCACAATATTGCAAGAATGCATACTGAGGAACTCCATTTACTTTCTTAATATCAATATCCTGAAAAAATCCAAACATTACTACTTAAAGATGAGAAAATAAACCAAGTCCATATGGAAAGAAAAAAAAAAAACTAATTTCCAACAAACATTTTCTTAGTTAAAATTATGCACCTCAATGCTTCTCTAAATTGGTTGTCTAGGAACTTTACATCTGTAGCATAAACCATGAAGTCTTTTTCTTGAGAAGTTCTCTATAGAAGAGTAAATGCAAGGCTTAAAATATAAAACGTATATTATCAGTGTTAATAGAAAAGGTTCCTTTGGTGAAAATCTGAGAAATAATGTCTTTTTTGCAAGTTATCTAAAATATCTGATAAGAGGCTACTGGTATTAGGTGCCACTGAATTGAATACAACTCTTAACAACTCAGAACAGACCTGAACCTTGTGCCTTCCTCACATTCTCAGACATACTGAGCTGACTGCTGCAGTCACTGTGCCAAGCCATCTCATTGTGGGTCTGCCTCTTTCACTGACCTTTCCAAACATGATGTCTCTTTTCAAGGAATAGTTCCTAACAACATACTCAAAATATATGAGGTGAAGCTTTGCCATCCCTATCTAAAAGAAACACTAAGGCTGCACTTTCTCCAAGACATATCTATTATGTCTTAAATAAGAGGCGAGGTCATTTAGGTATCTGATAAGAGAAAGAGAAACCATTATTTCAAAAACCTATTTAAACCCAGTAAGAATTAACTTTGGATGGTTACCAGAGATGGGAAAGGAAGAGAAATAAAAATTAATTGCAGGTCAAGGTGGGTGAAGGGAAAGGCAAAAAAATACTCCCCATAAAACCAATCATATTCCAAAACCCAACAAACCAGCTGTTTAAAATATGTAAACATGCAATGCTAAATTAGAAAACTTATTATTCTATCAGTATACCTAAACGAACCAAATTTGGTAATTAATAAATATGGTAATAACATCTTGTATCCACAAGGGCAGAATATACAAATATCTGTATTATACTGCAGGAAGATACGTGAGAACACTACCCCTGGATTAAAGAAACACTTTACAAAGGTACATTCTCATGTATTCAGAATTCAGAAAACCAGTAGTTTTAACCGACACACCTGTCCTGCCTATGGAGAAGTGGTTAAACAACTTGGCTTATATGTGAAAATGCTTCAGAGAAACCAAATGCCTGGGTGGTGAAATCCGTACTTGAATAATAATGGCCTGGGTCATACTTTGCAGAATAAGTATTGTGATTACTTATGCTTCCTTAAGGGTCACAAGCAATAATTAAAACTTCAAACAGAGCAAAGTAAAAAATGTATTTAAAGACCTCTTTGATGGGTCCTATTAAAAAGGAAGAGTCTACAAACAAAGATACTCAATGTAATGGAAAAACAGGAGATGACTTTCACGATTTTGTACAGTTTTAAAACCCAGGACGATTCCAAAGGATATGGGAGAGTGCTATGTTGTTGTTGTTGTTGTTACATACCATTGCGTCCAAACCAACGCACAGCTGACCTTCCAGTGGGTTTTCAAAGACAATACACTACATGGGAAGAGACTGCCCATCCTTCTCCTGCAGAGCAGCTGGTGCGTTTATGCTGCATGACTTTGAGGTGATGGGGCAACTCCTTACCACTAAGCCACCAGAACTCCCAACTGACAGACTAAATATATTCGTCTGGCTATGTTCTAATCCATTACCAAAAAAGCAGTAAATAATTTTGACAAAGTTTACGGGTCATTAAAATAGTGAAACTTAAAAGCAATTGCTAACATGATTAAATTATTGCTTCTACACAAAATAATAGTATCTTCATTTTATTTAGAATTTTAAGACATTTTATGTCTTAAAAACATTATATTTAAAGTACCAGCTATATGCAAACAAAAGTATCAAAACTTTTACCAGTTTATAAATTCAACAGCAAATTCAGGAAGAGATCACTGTGTAAAAAATAAAAGAAGCTCAGAGAAGTAAATGAACTCAAAGCTGCCCACCTAGTAGGCAAGAGAGCTGGAATTACTGAGTACACATCACTCACAAAAACAAAAAGGGGGAAAAAAGTAGGCGAATGTTTTATAGGTGTATTTTCTTTCACACATACAGAGTCTCTGCCCTCCTCCCATTCTTTTCCACCAGCCAATTTCAGCTCTTTAAAATGGGGTTTATATCAGTCACAAGCAAGATTAATATTTTGTTCATAAGATGAGGCTCTTTTGCTTAGCCATAGAAAAGATGGATGCATGTACAGGCACATATATACTCACCTGAAAGATTAACAATTGTTCCTATCTGAGACCTTTCTTTACCTTCTGAAGCCCAAACGTCAGAAACTTTTTTCACTGTTATTAATATGGAGAGAAGCTACAAATGACAGGAATAATTTTCCTGCTTTTTGACCACAGAGCACATACTGTGGCCAAACTTTTTCACTAAAAACTGGCTCAAGTTTCAGCCATAGGAACAAGAAAATTGTTCTATGCCTAACAACTAATACAATTAAGAAATGTGGCTCCAGTTAAAACTTCATAATAGAATATAATTTTCAGCATGTGATAACATTGATAGTCACATTCCATTAATCCCTAAGGTACTACTGGAAAATATTTCTAACAGGCACTGTGGCCACACAATAATCATTCTAATTTGCTGATGCTTTCTCATAAACAGTTTCTCTTTCAGATTTTCTTTTCAAACTACAGAACTAGAGATAGCATTAAAACATCAAGCAATAGATTAAAAAAAAAAGGAATGAATTAGGAGATCTATGTAAACAAAGTAACTTTTAATTTTACTTTTAACTTTACACAGCATAGAGAAAGATAGAGCAAGCAGTTGGCCTAGCGGACAGAAAGCCATGCTCCCAAACCAAAGGTGGGTGACTCTACTCCATGACCCTCAGGCCTGCCTTTAACTGTTTTTGGTGAAACATTCTTCTAGGTCATGTAACCTGGTATGTCCACTTGCTGTACAGAGGTAACTCGTGGTTGCTATGAAGCCAAATACTGTTACCCATGGTGGACAGTGTTTGGTGAAGCTCCCCGATTAAAACAAGCTTTGGAAGCAGGAGTGGCATCCACTTCCACAATAGCTTGCCTCTGGAAATCCTATGAACCTGGAGAAAGGACGAAAGTTATACAGGAAGTGTCCAGGACTTTGGTCACAGGGTCGCTATGAGTCGCCTGCGACTCGACGGCACTTAACAACAACAATGTAAACAAAATACATACAAATTCCATTTTTATAAACACATATAGTGTTCAATCCACTGCTGTAGGTAATTTTTCAACAGGAGTTAAAAATGCATAAAGCAAATGAGAAAAAATAATATACCATCGAAATATTTTTTCAAATAGAAACTGCATAAATGTCTTGTGTTTTACAACCAAGGTCTACAAAGGTTAAATTGCTAAAGTAGCATACCACAATTTCTCCAAAGCGCTGGAAGATATTGCGAAGATCATGGTAAGTAGTAGTTTTTTCAAGGTTTCCAATAAAAAGAGTTCTTGTTGCTTTAGGGTGAAATTCATCGATCCTTTCATCCAAGGGGCGAAATTCATTTTCACTTTCTGTTTCTGTAAGTGAAGTGGGAGTAAAGTAAGAAGAGAAGAGACCGTTTTCTCATATATTAAAGTGTCATGGAGAAATTTTACAGAAATAACTGGCTCGAATATTCACACAAGTGAAAAAGTGAGAAACCATCTTCAGAACCAGCTGCCCTTTGCTAATTAAGAAAGGAACACAAAGACTATGGGAACTTGTTAAAAACATTTTCAAGATGAAGTAACAATGTGATCTTTAAAATAGAAAAGTAGACTGAATTTCAATCTGTTTTGCTGACTTGTTTTAAAAAATAATCACTGAACAGATTTTTTAATCCTGTTTTAAGAGCCAAATTTATGAACTAGCTCTCAACAGCAATGCTGTAATCTGAAATACACATAAAATGTAGCTGGAAATAGCTGAGTTATTAAATTTCATTTACTTTACAGCATTTTATAGAATTGGCATGTTTGTCATACTAGAGGGTGTCATGAATGCGGAGCAGCCAACCTAGATTTTCCTCCCCTGTTTCAGAGATGTCCTGTCCCCACAGGAAGAGAGTGAAGGCATCAGGGGTAGAATAAGCACAGCAATAACCCAGCTGTCTAAAGGCAACGATCTGTTACACAAAAGAACAAATAGTTCATAAAAATTAACTGAATCCAGAAGCGAATGGCTAGAGAAGCTGTGGTATAGTCACACAATGGAATACTACGCTGCATTGAAAAACAAGAAACTCATGCAATATTATTCAAAATGGGTGACCCTAGAGGACATAATGCTGAGTGAAATATCTCAGTCACAAAAAGACAAATACTGCAAGGTGCCACTGTTGTAGAATTGGACTAACATCAGGGTTGGGGTAAGACTGAGAAAAACTGGATAAATTATGTATATTGCGTTGAAACAGATGAGGGAGAGAACAATTTAAAAGCAATATATGATAGGGTATTATGGTTATCAAAGGAGTCCAAAATTAAGGTTGCATAGTGGAATGTACTTGGGGCAGTGGGAGGGGTGTGGGGGTATTGTATACCAAAGAAAGAATTGTTCTTTAACTGTTCAAAGAGATGCGAACTGGGGGTGGGGGTAGGGAGAAAAGTGCAACAATGAATGAATGGAAATCCAAAATCTCTGTAAATGTTCATTAAAATTAATAAAATAAAATGTAAAAAAAATTAAAAATGGAAAATGTAAAAAAATATAAAATTCAGTGTTAAAAAAATAAATAAAATTCAGTGTTAAAAAAATATATAAAATTCACAGTGTTAAAAAAAAATTAACTGAAGACACACTTATGGAATACTTCTTTTGGTGCTGTATGTAACCCAAAAAGAAAAGGTAAAAGATACTAAACTTTCTTTGTTTTATGATCAAACGCTATGGCTTACTTCTCAATTCTATCAAGACTTAATCTGTAGGCTCACTTATTAATTTGATCTAGGAAGAGATAGTCAAGGTTTGGTTGACAATAATTATTACAAGGCCTGTATGTACTGTCTCTTCTTTCTTTTAACGTGAAGCAAAAGTCATCAAAAAAAAATGTATTATTTACTGAACGTACTGAAACACTGAAGTCTGCAGTCAGGGTCCAATGTCAGTTTGAGGACTAAGGTGCACCTAATTCAGGCCATGGTCTTTTCAATCACTTTCTATGCTACTTAGAGCTGGACAATGAATACGGATGACAGAAGAAGAATTGATGCCTTAGAGCTCTGGTGTTAGAGTACTCATTATCTCAAAGACTGTCAAAAGAACAGATATGACTTAGAGAAGGTGCAGCCAGAGTGCTCCTTGAAGGCAAGGTGATAAAGCTACGTCTCACATACTTTGGGCATGTTGGTTGTAAGAGAGGCTATTCCTTGGAAGAGGAACATCATACTTGGCAAGGTGGAAGGTCAGTGAAAGAGAGGAACACTTTCAACCAGGTGGATTGACACAATGATTGCAGTATTGGGCTCAAACATGTCAGATAGTGAGGATGGCACTGGATAGGAGAGAGAAATGGTTCAGATCTGCTGTTCACAGGGTCGCTATGGGATGTACTCAACTTAATGGTATGACAAAACAACAACTGAAACAAAGTGCTTAATATCAATCTCTAAACATGATATAGATACCAGTATTAAAAGATTCAACTTCAAACTATTGAGTCAATTCAGCCAAACTACATCTCATATCTAATATCAATCTGATAGCTCTAATGATAGCTTACCATAATCTTATCAGTCTCATAAAGAATAAAAACTTTCAGAGTCAAGTAAACCCAGAAAATGCCCAGAGATCATATACCAACTTCACATTTTTATTCTTTCTGACAAAAATGTATTTCATTTTAAGCTTGCTTAGTTCCTCTTGAAACAACCCAACAGAAGGTAGACTTGTAGGAAAAACTCACAGGAACTGGGGACAAAAACTAACTCAGACACATTCACAATAAGCAGAATGGAAAATGTACAGCATGATTTGTAACCATGAGAATCTGTAATGGTTACATTTCCAGCAAAAAGATCAGTAAAATTTCCAAAATTGGAAATTCACTTTAGCAACAGGACAGTGGCATTTCTCACATGTGATCTTATACCCTACTTTACTATTTTAAATCTTAATGCTTACATGTCTTTGGAAGAAACCTGTTTTCTTGAAATTTCATGTTTGTGGTTGTTAGCTGCTGGACCCTGTCCTGTCCTGTGCCATCCTCACCATTTCTGATACACCTGAGCCCATTGCTGCAGTCCGTGTCAATCTATCTCATGAGAGCTCGTCCTCTCTTTTGCTGTAAGCACTATCTTAGAAGTCAAGAGAATATCAACATTGAGTTTCTTGGATTTAAATCTAACTTCAAAAGTTCTAGGTTATTTATTCAATACATTTTTAACAACTATTTGATAGTATAATTCTAACCAAATTACCATACATATTTAACTGTTTTAAAATAGTCTATTAACTATTTAAGGAAGCACTAATGGCCTCGTGGATAAGGAGTTGTACCGCCAATCCAAAGGCAGGTGGTTCAAATCCACCAGCTGCTCCTCACAAGAAAGATGAACAATCTCCTCCTGTGCAATTTACAGCCTCTGCAAATCTGCTGGTCAGTTATGAGTCAGTTCCAACTTCATGGCAACAAGAAATAATGCAGTGGTACATGGAAAAGAAACTTCAGCTTTTCTATATTTGAACTGTAATATTAAGAAAACAAAAATCTTCACAACAGGACCAATAAGCAACATCTCATGATAAACACAAGATATTAAAACGATCCGTATTTTATTTGGATCCATAATTCACTCCCAAGGAATAGCTTAAATCGAATGCACTGCATAAATCTCTTGTAAAAGACCTTTTAAAATATTAAAGAGCAAAGATGTCACTTTGAGAACAAACATGAATTTAAGCCCACCCATGGTACTTTTTTGTTTGTTTGTTTCCTCATGTGCATGAGAAAGCTGAACAATGAATAAGGAAAATCAAAGAGCAGATGCTTTTGAATTATACTATTGGTATAACTGAATGTATTATGATCTGCCAAAAGAATGAACAAGTCTGTCTTAGAAGAGATACAGCTAGAATACTCCTTACAGCAAGGATATTGAGACTTTGTCTTGCATACTTTGGACAGGTTATCAAGAGAGATCAATTCCTGGAAAACAACATCACGCTTGGTAATGTAGGGAGTCAGCAAAAAAAGAGGAAGATCCTAAACAAGACATAGTGCCTCTAACAATGGCTCAAACATAGTAACAACTCTAAAAACATGATCGGGTAGTGTACTGTTTCGCTATACATCAGGTCATTTTGACTTTGAAATGATACTTAAATGAACCAAACTTCTCAAATTCTCTGACAGGTGATTTAAGCTACAAATTAGGTAAATAAAATGTTTCTTACAACATAAATTCAAAGCAATCTTCACCACCTGGAAAACAGATCAATTATTGAATGCCTATAGATTAGACTCTCATTATTCAAAATTAACAGTGCTGGAAATTCATGACGACTATATGATACTCTTGACTGCTGATACCAAGGGTACTAAATGTGGATACAAGTAGGACCAAATAGTTGAAAATGTCAATCATTTCTCTACTGATCATGATTTGCCTGCTGGCCAGTGGTTAAGAATTTCGTTTTCTTGATGTTGAGATATAATTCATAATGAATGCTACAGTCCTCAATCTTCAGCAGCAAGTGATTCAAGTCCTCCTCACTTTGAGCAAGGTTGTGTCATCCGTGTAACGCAGACTGTTGATGAGTCTACCTCCAATCCTGATCCCACAGTCTTATTAAAAAAAATCTAGTTACTTGAATGATTTCATCAACATACAGACTGAGTACAGCTCTGATGCACTTCTTTCTTGATTTTAAACCATGCGATATTCCCTTGCTCTGTTCAGAAAACTGCTTCTTGGTCTAAGGAAAAGGTTCAGTATGAGCACAATTAAGTGTTCTGAAATTCTCATTCTTCTCAATGTTAACCATAGTTTGCTATGATCCACGAGTCAAATGCCTTTGTTGCTGTTGTTACGTGCCTTTGAGTCGACTCCAACTCATAGTGACCCTATGTGTAACAGTTCTGAACCCTGCTCTCTCCTGAGCTAATTTCACCGTCTCTGACACACTTACCCCATTACCCCAATTACTGAGTCAGTTCATCTCGTCCAGGGTCTTCCCCTCTTGCGCTGTCCCTCCACCTTCCCAAACATGATGTCCCTCTCCAAGGACTTGTCCCCTCCTCACAACATGCCCAAAATATGTCAGATGGAGCTTCAAAATACTTCCTTCCAAGAAGCAGCCTGATTACACCTTTGCATAGCCCATGAAACACAACAGACATCCTTCTGTATACTCTGCTTTCAGCCAAGACTCATTTAAAATGAATACTGATACCCCTTGTGCCACTATCTCTTCTAAATCCAGCCTGAATTTCTGACAGTACTCTGCTGATGTACTGGTCTAGCCATTTTGGGGTTTGGGGGTTTTTTGTTTGTTTTTTCCTCCTCATAATCTTCAAGATTGCTTACATGTGTTATTAATGATATTATTCGATAATTTCCACATTCTGTTGGACCACCTTTCTTGGGAATTAGAATAAATATGCATCTCTTCTAGTGAGAAGACAGCCAAGTAGCTGTTGTTCAGATTTCTCAGCACAGCATGGGAGCATGACCAGGATCTACTTGTTTACTGGTATATGTTTATTGGTATTTCCTCTGTTCTTAGAGGCTTATTTTTTGCCAATAATGCATCAATGAAACTTAAACGTCTTCCATTATTATCACTGGTTCTCCCCCTCACACCCACCCCCACCCCACGCCCGTGCAACCTGCTTCAGTGCCTGTAGCAGTGGTTCAGGGTTACAGTTCACTCTGGCACGGAACACTGTGAGAGACCCATGGGGTCAGGTGTGCCATAAATCCAACCCCATGCATTATCACTGCTTCCTTATCATATGCTACTTTCTGAAACAGTTCCATGCTAGCCAATTCTTTTTTATACAGTGACTGAATCTTTTTATACAGTGACTGAATATCTTTCCATCTTCTTTTGATGTCTCCTGATCGATCATTCAAGATCTTGCCCATTCCATCCTTCAATATTGCAACTTGAGGCTTGTTCAGTTCTCTCTCCGCTTCAGAAAAGCCAAGCAAGTTCATCTCTTTTTCTTTTCTGACTCCAGCTCTTTACATATTTTGTTACAATATTTTGCTTTGTCTTTTTAAGCTGTCCTCTAAAATCTGTTTTAATTCTTTTACTTTGTCCTTTTTTCCCTTTGTTTTGGCTCCTTGATGTTCTAGTAATTTTCAGAGTCTCTTCTGACATTCATTTTGGTCTTTTCTTTCTCCTCTTTGTAATGACATTTTGCTTTCTTCATGGATGATGACCTTAATGTCACCCCACAGCTCATCTGTTCTTTGATTATTAGTGTTCAATGCCTCAAATCTCTTCTTGAGATGGTTTCAGGTGGGACTGACTTAAGGCCACATTTTAGTTACTGAGTTCAAACTGAAGCTGAAGTTTGAACTTGCACATGAGTAACTGATGCTCTGTTTGCAGAGTCAGCATCTGGCCTGGTTTTGTCTGCTGATAGTGAGCTTCTCTAATGATTCTTTCCACAGATAGGTTGCATTGGGAAAATCTGCTGTCAGGGATCACTCTAAAGTATTAAAGAGCAATGATGTCAATTTAAAAACTAAGGTGTGCTTGATCAAAGTCATCATCTTCTCAATTGCTTGCTATGCACTTAAAAAATAACAGTGAATAAGAATGACAAAAGAATCCACTACCTTTGAGTTGTGGTGCTGGAAAAGAGTAATGAATATCCCACAGACTTCCAAGAGAACAACCAGGTCTATCCTGGAGCAAGTTCAACCAGTGTGTTCTTTTGGAGGCAAGGATGGTGAAATTCTGCCTCAGTCTTTGGGCATGTTATTAGGAAGAGGCAGTACTTGGAGAAGGGCATCATACTTAGAAAGATGAAGGGTCAGAGAATGAGAGGAAGACCTTTAACAAGATGAATTAACACAGTGTGTAACTATAGGCTCAAATATGTCAAAAATGAGGAGGAAGGCACAGAACAGAGCAAGGTTCAGATTCCTTGTTCACAGTGTCACTATAGACACAGTCAACTGAAAGGTACATAATAATAATAATAATAATATAGAATGTCCTACATCTTATGTAATTCATATAATACCCTATTACTCCTCAAGTCATTTTGCCTTATTTTAAATATTTTTTAAGAGAACTCTTGATTTGCTCTTAGCCTGGCATAACTTAAGGCAGTACCTCTAAAAGTTTGTCAAATCAAGGAAGGAATTTTAAGGTAAAGATAATATTCCTTTAAAGTCCCATGTTTTATTATAAATTTGTGCATATTTCAGATTCATCACTCAGTGCCATATTTTTAATCTATAATTAATATTTACATTCTTATTAGGAAAATTATCTTTCCCCCCTTAATTATCCAATAAAATAAAATAACCCTGGCCATGCTTACTCAAACACTTCCACTTAAAGTGTTAAACTATCCATTGCTGATGTCCTAGATCCATAGATGGCTGCAAATTTTTAACATGTCTTCCTTTCAAATATATTCACAAAACATCTTAAATCAGGGATTCTCAAACTGGACTGTGTGCATTGAGGCAGAGTCAGAATATACAATTTAAAATAAGCACCTCGGGTAGTCTTGAAATAGGGGAAACATCGACCCCCACTTTACTTGAAATTTCTTGATTCAACATGGGTCTTAAAAAAAGGTTAAAATTTTTAAAATGCATCCTTGAAATTCTCAAAAGGTCCTTCTTCAGATTTCATTCTGCTTTTATGTCACTATCTTTTTCAAGGTCACAGAAACCAGAACAGAGCCAATTTGAGCTGAGTATAATGGAAATAAAAATAGATCTAAGCAATCTCTCAAGTAGATTATTAACTAGTAGTTCACTTTCTCCCTCCAATCCTGATGCCACACTCCTCTTCAGAGAGTCTAGCTTCTCCAATAATTTGCTCAATATACAGATTAAATAGATATGAAGAGAGAATATAACCCTGATGCACTCTCTTCTTAATTTTAAACCATGTTAAGTTCCACTGCTCTCTTCACAAAACAGTCTCCTGGTTCTGGTATAGGTTCTGCATGAGTACAATTAAGTGCTCTGGAGCTCCCATTCTTCTCAATGTCAGCCACAATTTGTAATGATCCACACAGTCATATGCCTTTGCATAGTCAAATGGGACAATCTTCTGGTATTCCTTACTCTCAGCCAGGATCCATCTGACATCAGCAATGATATCTCTGGTGCCACAGCCTCTTCTAAATCCTGACTGAACTTCTGTCACTTCCCTATCTATGCACTGTTCTAACCATTTTTTAATGACCTTCAATACTATTGAGTATTCTTGAGGAATAATGATGTCAGTTTGAAGACTAAGGTGTGTCTAGTTCAGGCCATAGTGTTTCCAATCACTTGCTAGGCACCTGAGAGCTGGACAATGAATAAGGATGACAGAAAGAGAACTGATGTCTGGATGGCCAAGAGAACAAACAGATACATCTTGGACAGGATGCAGCTGGAATGCTCTTTGGAGGAAAGAATGATGAGGGTTAGCCTCACATACTTTGGGGCATGTTGCTCGGTGGGTCTTTTCCTTGGAAAAGGACATGACACTGGGAAGGGTGGAGGGTCAGAAAGGAGAGAAAGATCTTCAACCAGGTGTACTGACACAGTAACCGCCACAACGGGCCCGTATGTCAGGAAGTGTGAGGGTGGTGCAGGACAGAGCAGGGCTCAGATCTTTTGTCCACAGGGTCGCTATGAGTCCTACTCAACTGAATGGCACCTAACAACAACAACAGTTCACTTTCTAATTCAGAAATTCAATGTCTTTTTCCTAGGAACTGTCTCCTAATCTCAATCAATTTGACTTTTGGGGAAAGGTGGGCTCAACAAGAGTCTAAGCTTTGTCTTTCAGCGTTATAGAACTTATTTCTATGATGGCCACACATTATCACTAAAGAAAGGGAAGACACAGAGATGTACACATGAAATATAGTCAACAGCAGATAAATAGGCAGATAGGCTAGACAAACAGATGGACAGAGAAGAAAGACTACAATATGACTATCCATAGGTCTGGCAGATGTTATTTCTACATTCATATTAGTATACACAGTAAATATATCCATGTACAGAGTTGAGCTAACAGGAGACAATGTGTGGAAGCCTCTCATTAACAAACTCTGAGGAAAGAAGAAGCTGCTGACTGTGGGGATTGGGACCACATTCATGAATGACATTATAGTCAACTGATGCAACACACTTCACAAAGACAAAGTTCTACATCCTCCTTTTAAGTAGTGCCGGGGGTCTTAAAGGCATGAGAACAGTCATCTACTGGGCAAATACTGGTCTCTCCTTGTTTGGAAAAAAAAAAAAGAAAGATGTAGTGAAACAATTAGACCAAAGGACTACCTGACCAAGTGAACTTGAATTTCCACAACCCTGAGAACGAGAACTAGATGGTCCCTAGATATCCACTTAGCACTCTAATAGGGATCACAGAAGATGATTCTGTATAGAATAGGGAGAAACGTGGGAAAACCCAACCCAAAACCTTGAAAAAATCTGGCTTACTAGTCTGACAGCGCTTAATCATACTTTGAACGAGAACAAAACTCACTCCTATTACTAAACTTTCAGCCAAGTAATAGACAAGCCCATAAGACAACCAATAAAACCAGGGAGGTACACAGCCCTTAGAACAATCAACCACAGAAGGTCAAAAGAGCAGTGTTTGTTCCAGGTAAAGTACTAAAGACAGGAAGGGGTGGAACAGGACTGATAGAAATGAGAAATAAAGATGAAGTGTGAATACATTGTGGGTACTTTAATTTATATAAAACAAAATGTGTATGGATGATTGAAAAATCAATGTGCTTTGTAAACTTTCACTCAAATAAAATATACATATACACATGACAATAAAAATAAGTGAAAGTTAACATTTCTGCTTTATAGAAATAGAAAAATCTTCCACTCTACCAGGAACAATATTTTTTACTACCTTGAATGATAAACATAGCCATCTTTTAGAAGCACATTAGTAATTAAAACGAAAACAGTATTCATTTTTTTAAATATAAATTACACTAAAATTTACAATTTCCCTTGTCTCTTTCTTACCTGGCCCTATCCAGGCTGTTACTTCAATTTGCATGCCAAAGAAAAGTTTTCCTTTTGAAGCAGTCAATGCTTTTTCTTGGTCCTCTTGCTGTCGAAAGAAAACCAGGCCGTATCGCTCTTCTGAAGCTCCATGTATCTGCACTGAAGTCACCTTTCCATGTTTTTTAAATTCATGAAAAAGGCCATCTTTAAGGCTTGAATCTAAATACCCAAACAAAACAAATTATTTATTCTTTTAATTTAGTTACAACTAAATAAGCAAGCTACTTAATCTTTAGCCTGATTTTTGACACCTTTACATTCTTTAAAAATTAGTAACTCTAAACAGGCATTTTGAAGATTAATGTATTGAATGACTAATTCTGAAAATTTACGAGGTGTTAGATGGTAATACTGATTATTTATTAGGTAAGAATGGTATTGTGGTAATGCAGGGATAAATGCCTTTGCATTTTACAGATATAGACAAAAAATACATCAGGAAGAAATTATGAAAAATCAACTTTGAAATACACCACCACCACCCCCTTAAACACAGAAGGGCAACAAGAGTAATAAAGAAAAAAGCTAGGAAACAGAAAGGCAAGTGTGGCAAGACATTGATAATTTTTTAAACTGAGGGATGTATGAAGGTTCACCGTGATATTCCTTTTACTTGGCACTGCACTGGGCAAATCTGCTGCCAGTCACCTCTTTAAAGTGCTGAAGATCAGGGACGTCAGTTTAAAGATGTGTCTGGCTCAAGCCACAGTATTTTCAATTGCCTCACATGAATGTGAAAGTCAGAAAATGAATAAGGAAGATCAAAGACTTGATGCCTTTGAATTGAGTGTTGGTGCAGAGTTCTGAACAGACCATGGACTGCAAAAAAGGACAAACGCATCTGTTTAGATTAGACGAAGTACAGCCAGGGCCCCACAGAGACAAGAAGGGTGAGACTTGGTTTCATATGCTTTGGGCATGTTATCAGGAGGAGCCAGTCTTTGGTAAAGGTCATCAAAATTAAAAATGTAGATGGTCAGTGAAGGGGAGGAAGACTCTCAACAAGATGAACTGACTTTGTGACTGAAATAAATATTTAAGCACAGTGGAGACCTTAAAGTGGCACAGAAGTAGGGAGTGTTTTCTCGTACTGTCACTATAAGCTAGAGCTAGAATCAACTTGACAGTGTCTAACAACTACACCACGACTAGACTTTCATAATAGAAATGTTATGTATTTCAGAGTTACAAAAAGGAAAGCTATAATTTCTAGGGCATGTAACATGCTACAATAGCAACATCTTTTACAGACAAATCATACAATAGAGGATCTTGGGTTAATCTTTTACATTATAAAAAGCGTACAGAAAGGCAAGCCAATTTTACCCCTGTGCCCATTTCTATTTTATTAAGTAATCTAAATGAAAAATTCATCAATGCTTGTGTCTCAACATCTATTAAAAACTTGGTGCACACCCATGTTTGTCACAGTTTTGTTCACAATAGCAAGGGGTTGGAAACAACCCACGTGCCCATCAACAAACGAATGGATCGAGCAGCTCTGGTACATTCACACAATAGAATACTATGCTGCATTGCAAAACAAAGAACTCATGCAATATTATTCAAAATAGGTGACCCTTGAGGACATTATGCTGAGTGAAATATCTTAGTCATGAAAGGACAAATACTGCATGGTACCATTGTGGTAGAATGGGACTGATATCAGGGTTGGGGTAAGACTGAGAAAAATTGGATAAATTATGTATACTGCATTGAAACAGATGAGGGAGAGAACACTTTAAAAGCAATATATGATAAGGTATTATGGTTATCACAAGAGTCCAGAATTAAGGTTGCATAGTGGAGTGTACTGAGGGGTGTGTGTGTGTGTGTGTGTGTGTGTGTGTGTGTGTGTGTGTGTGTGTGTTGGGGCGGGGGGACTGTATACCAAAGAAAGAATTTTTCTTTTACTTTTCAAAGAGAGGAGTGAACTGTGGGGAAGGTCTGGGCAGGGAGAAAAGTACAACAATGAATGAATGGAAATCCAAAATCTCTGTAAATGTTCATTAAAATTAATAAAATAAAATTTTAAATGAAAAAAAACCCAAACAAAACTTGGTACCTAAATTTTATAGGCTATTTTAATAAATAAGTGATAACTGAAGCACCCTTAGCTAAGAAATACTTAAGGAGCTCAGGGGACTAAGAAGTAGGGGCTAAGGAGTTGTGCTGCCAAAGCTAATAAGAGGTTTAAACCCACCAGCTGCTCCCCAGGGAAAGAGAGAAAAATCTCATTCCTTGTTGTTGCCCACAGCAATTACAAGAAATTCTTTAGTTGTTTTTTGTTAGTTTGATCATCTGTACTTTTAACAATTTGTATATATTCAGTAAGACTTAATATTAGGGTAAAAATACCATATATTATGTCAATTAAATTTAAATTATCAAGAGTAAAAGAAAGAGGGACATCATGCTTGGGAGGGTGGAGGGATGGCGCAAGAGGGGAAGACCCTCTATGAGGTGGATTGATTCAGTGACTGAGGTAATTGGGGTAGGTATTTCAGAGACAGTGCGATTGGCACAGGACAGAGCAGGGTTTAGGGCTGTTGTACATAGGGTCGCTATGAGTCGCAAGTGACTTGACGGCACATAACAGCAATAACAACAACATAGCTTGTAACTAGATTTCTCCATTATTCACTTTTTTCTTATTTAAAATGTTAGTATTTTGAAATGTGTTTATCATAATTTTTCATATCAAATTTCCCCTAGAATCAAAATATTTAATCCAAAAAGGATGTTTACTAAAAAATAAACCATGTTTTCTTTATATACCGTTCACACTGTGTACTCTTGTGTGTATATATACAAACGTAAATACACATACATATGCACCCACACATATAAACCACCAGGGAATCTTAAAATACTGTGTTACATGTAAAAGTAACAACTTCGAAATCAAAGTACATACATGTAGAATGATCACATGCTTCTGCTACAACCCATTAAATGTTAACGAAACACTACAAGGAAACGCAATTTCACTGTGCAATATGAAGTTCCTATTTCTCAGTCTCATTTTTCTCAAGAGAGGTTGACCAGAAAGTACAGATGCACAAAATTTTACCTGTAGAACGTACTGGAAGATTCTGAACCTTGATCCCAAAACTTTTACGGGGTTCATCTTTCTCCAGAGATGAAAGCAACTGGGAAGTGGGTGCTGGAACTGCTGCAGACTGAACAGATCTGGCTGGAGAGTCATCACTGGAAGTGCTACTGGAATCGCTGCTGCAGGAGGGCAAAAGCAAACTTTCAAGAAAAGACAAACATAAAATGGGCAAAGTTTATCAAAATTTTAGAATGACAAGCAGCAATAATTAAACAAGTCTAAATCTTAGGTCTGAGATTTCTACTATACTATCAACAATGACCAAGAGAGAGCTAATACTGATCTGAGAAAGTGGTGGCAAAAGTAGTATTCATTTTCCACCACATACCATCTAAACACAAGTGTTGTACACTGCACACTATCAAAAATTTTCTTCAAATGATGTAAGATTCTATGAAGCCAATTAGAGTAATAATAACAGAACTGTGAAGATGGGTTTTGGAATCAGAGATCTTGACACAGATCTTACTTCAGTTGTATAGCATGTACCCTTGGACATATTCTTTTTTAAATTAATTTTAATGAAGGTTTACAGAGATTTAGGGTTTCCAGTCATTCACGGTTGCACTTTATTTTCTTAAAGGCCTCTGTTTCCACCTTTGTAAGATGAGACTAGTAATATTACATATACCTCTCATGATTAATAATTAGATTAAAAAGCCCAAATGTTGAAAAGATTTGGAAGATGACAGACATTCAAATAACAGTAATATTGTTTCTGTTACTATTAGCAGTAGTAGAATTACCTGTGTTAACAAGAAATTTTTAGGAAAACATAAATACAGGTGTACCTCAGATATACTGTTAGTCCTGTGCCAAGTTACAACAAAGTGAACACTGCAATAATGCATATAACAGATAATAAAAAAAGCAAGTCACACAAGTTTTCCTCAGTGACTCTAAATTAGTGGCACCCACTTCCTAAACAACATGCCTCCAGAAACTCTATGTCGATAGTTGTAGAGGGGCTTCAGGCCTTTTGTTCATAGGTAAGGTCACTATTTGCCGTGCTCCACTCGAAGGCAATCAACAATCAACAACAACATATTATCTTAAGTGTACAATAGCATTATGGGAAAAGTTTGAACTGATAGGAGAATTACAAAAATGTAACAAATGTGAAGAGTGAGCAGTTGGAAATATAGCACAGATAACCCTGCTTGACCTAGGGATGTCCCAAACTTTTAGTTTAAAAAGACCAATAAATAAGCAAGGAAATAAAGTGTAAACATTTGGTTAGTAACTAAGCACCAAACTACTGTGCCACTATTTTTTAAAGGAATATTAGGTAAGTTAACTCCTTCTAGCTTAGGCTCTCTTTTCTGTGGATAATGTCAGAATTCTAAGCCAATGAAACGGAATTTATTGCTCTCTTCAAGTTAATACAATTCTCAAGAAAAATGACAGCCAATACAAAACCAAGAGAAAAATTTCACATATAGTCTAAGAAAAGGACATTTTTAATATTTATGATTTATTTTACTTATAAATTTTACCTCACGGCATATTTACTATGCTTAGGAAATAACTGAGAAACATGTCTTCTTTTCCGTAAGATCTGTATAAGGAGAATGTTATGATTTCAAGTTCTTTTACAGTATTCACAGATATACTAATAAAAGTTATCAGATCTATTTATTCACAGGTGTTACTATATTTCTAAAATTCTCCTTCATAGTCTACTGTCAAAGTCTATCTTTATGTCCTCTCTAGAAGAAATACTGTAACTACAGACTTTGGATCCAAGATGGTTACTAACACAGTCAAACAAATCAGTACAGGAATTGACTCTAGTAGTAAAGAAACAAGCACAGAAAGTGTTATAACTAAGAACGTATACTTCTATTTCGTTTTCTCATGCTAGCAGAAAAGGAAAGCTTTAATGAGATGATTATTAGAGCTTTCTGTAGTCTGAAATGTAGAAAAATAACCTCAGAAAGAGTTGAATGGAGGATGCTAAATTACAAAGTACAACCTGCTATGGACAAAATTTGAAGAAACAAGAGCAAGTTGTTGCTGCCAGCTTGCCTAATAAATAACTGAGTTTGTTTTCCCAGCCATAAAAAGGGATGTTCCCCTATAACGGCTACCAGAAGTAGTGTCACCAAGGACTAAGTAAATTATAATATCTTGAATACGATGCTTTATTTTCATTGAAATGAAAGTTAACAGAATAAACCTTGTCACACAAAAGGGTTATATGGGAGTACTTATGTTTATTAAGTTCTCCAAATAACACAAAATTCATTCACCAGATGAATACAGCATAAAAAGTATTTTAACCTTCAAAAAAAAAAAACCCCAAATAACAGCAGGTTCACCTGCAGTGGACAGATTTCAGCAGAGTTTCCAGACTAAAACAGACTAGGAAGAAAGACACAAACATCTGTTTCTGAAAATCAGCCATGAAAACCCAATGTATCACAATAGAACATTGTCCAAAACTGTGCCAGAAGATAAGCCCTGCAGGCTGGAAAGGGCTAAAAACAGAAAGAACAACAGCACGTTTGCAATCATGACAAAAGATGAGGCAACATTTTGTTCTGTTGGACACGGGGCTGCCACTAGCTGGAGGAGGCCCAATGGTAACTAACAACAAAAAAACAGCTGTTTTATAAAGCCAAGACTAATTATAATTAATGAAAAGCTGATATTTGCTTATCAAACATTGCTGTCTTAAAGTACAAGTAATAAAGATGTAGTGACAATCATTTTTTTAGAGGAGAGGTTTTAAATTTACCTCAACTCAATTCACTGCTGTCAAGTTGGAACTGATTCATGGCTGACTCTTCAGTGACTTTCTAAGGCTGTAAATCACACAGAAGGAGAATACCTGCTTCTCTTTCTCCCATCAGGTTACCACTGAATTCAAACCACCAGAAGAAGCACCACATTTGGATTACCAGCAACTCCTTACCCACTAGGCCACTAGAGTTCCCTTAAATTTACTAAATCTAATAGGTAATTTTCCTAAAATTTACCTAGGGACATCAATTTTACATGTTCAATAACAATTAAAAGCATCATGTCCCATTTTAAAAAGGCATTTTGCCAAAAGGTAAAGAATTTGAAAGAAACATATAATTTAGAATACTATTACTTTTTCCTGGGACTATAAGACAATTTATGTTGAAATACTTCTTTTTCTTTTTTTAAGTATTTCTGGTTTGTACTTACAACTTATGACTGTTGTTGTTGTTGTCATGTGCCATCGAGTCGCTTGCGACTCATAGCAACCCTACGTACAAGAGCTCTATACGCTCTTCTATCCTGTGCCAACCTTAGGATTACTAAGAAAACTAAGATCTGATCAAAATTTCCATGGTGGAAAATGTAATTAAGCAACTAGCTAAATAACAATTTCAGATAAGCAAACATAAGGTGGGATGTCATGTCAGCATTCTCTTAGCCCAAACCATGGGATCAAATCATCAATTCCCTTTCTGGCATTTTATACACAGAACCTCACTGAACATTTGCCTCTTAACACTGACAATTTCAAGGTACCAGGTATTCTATTTATAAAATGACTCAGGGATAAATTTGTTCACTCAATAAATAACTGGCTTCTACATTCTGTATTCCTTTGCAAATATTATTTGAAAACATCTGATTTTAGTAAGTACATTTATACTGGCTTTTTAAAAGCTGAAATATTTAAAAGTTAATTAATGAAATTTAGTTGCAAAACAAAATTCTGGCATTACAGTTTTTTAAATGGAGCAATTAAGGCAATTAGAAAACTGCAATTAGAATGGCTGAATGTATTTGCTAAAAGCAGACATAATCTCAAATAAGTTATCTGATGAGCTCCACCTTCAATTGATCATTTTTTCCCCTCAAGCAGGAGTGGCATCCACTTCCTCAACAATATGCCTCCGAAAACTCTATAAACTTTGATAACTGCTGATAGTTGTAGAGGGGCTTCAGGCCTTTTTTCCAGTGTCACTATGAGTCTTGCTCGATTGGAAGGCAATCAACAACAACACCACATCATCAATACTATATACACACCCATATAAAAACCTAGGTGGGAAAATACATAAAACGGTGATTTCAAAATTGTTGTTAGATGCAGTGAGTAGATTCACAGTGACCCTAAGACCAGTGCCCGATCCTGTACCATCATCATGACCTCTGCCATGCTCAAGCCCATTGTTATAGTCACTGTGTCATTTCTATTAGAAAAACTGACCCTCTGTCTTTCCTTAAATGCCATCCAAAGATGAGCCCCTCTTGACAACACATCCAAAGTACATGAGTTAAAGTGTCACTGGCCTTGTCTCACATGAGCACTGGAAATAGGCAATTTAAAATAAGTGCATGATCATGACAATAATCTGAAAAAGAGGCACACTGTGAGATGGGCTGGGGTGGGGGGAAAGAGTGCAACAAAACAATTTTTTTTTTTAATTACACAATTAAAAATAAAGAAGAGAAAAAAAAATATGTGCATTGTCCTTTGTAGAGAGCTCAGGTGGATTAGTATATAAGGAGTTGTGCTAACAATCCCAAAGGCAGACAGTTTGAACCCACCAGCTACTCCTTGGAAGATGAATGAGCTCTGACTCAATGGCACTGAATGAGTGAGTCCTTTTGTACTTCCCCCCCCAGATGAGAAGTAAAAAAATCTGTACAGACCCTAAAACAGAACACATCAGCACAACAAAGGCAGATACCCTCTTCATCCTATTTTTTCACAAATTAATATTTTCAAAATTTATTATTTATTTATGTATTTTTTACTGCAGCAGATCTCTAAGTATAATTACATCCCTTATTTTCATCTATTTCTGTGAGGTTGATTGTTTTCACATACTACAAACAACAGTCTGAGTGTAGAAATAGATGTCAAAATTTCTTATTTAAAAAAAAACAAAACAAACAACCACCACCTACAACCAGGAGAAGTTAAAATAGATGAATGGGACCTTCTAAGAATCAAATTCCTATGCACATCCAAAAACTTCTTCAACAGGGTAAAAAGGGAAGCCACAGACTGGGAGAAAGTATTTGGTAATGACATATCAGATAAGGGACTTATATCCAGAATTTATAAAATACTTGAGCACCACAACATAAAGGTAAATAATCCAACGGAAAAATGGGCACAGGTTAT